AGAGGCCTACCTACTCGCCTGACACTATAGACTAGACTAGTTTAGTCTGTCTTGGCTCCGTCGTTTGCTCTGCAGAGAGAGGCCTACCTACAAACCTGACAATATATTCTAGGCTGCCTTGATTCCGTCGTTGCCTCTGCAGGGAGAGGCCTACCTACAAACCTGACACTCTAGTCTAGTCTGACTTGGCTCCATCGTTGCCTCTGCAGGGAGAGGCCTACCTACAAACCTGACACTCTAGTCTAGTCTGTCTTGGCTCCGTCGTTGGCTCTGCAGGGAGAGGGCTACCTACACACCTGACACTCTAGTCTAGTCAGACTTGGCTCCATCATTGGCTCTGCAGGGAGAGGCCTACCTACAAACCTGACACTCTAGTCCAGTCTGTCTTGGCTCCGTCGTTGGCTCTGCAGGGAGAGGGCTACCTACACTCCTGACACTCTAGTCTAGTCAGACTTGGCTCCATCATTGGCTCTGCAGGGAGAGGCCTACCTACAAACCTGAGACTATAGTCTAGACTAGTTTAGTCTGTCTTGGCTCCGTCGTTGGCTCTGCAGGGAGAGGCCTACCTACAAACCTGACACTCTAGTCTAGTCTGTCTTGGCTCCGTCGTTGGCTCTGCAGAGAGAGGCCTACCTATTCGCCTGACACTATAGACTAGACTAGTTTAGTCTGTCTTGGCTCCGTCGTTGCCTCTGCAGGGAGAGGCCTACCTACAAACGTGACACTCTAGTCTAGTCTGCCTTGGCTCCATCGTTAGGTTTGTAGGTAGTCCTCTCCCTGCAGAACCGACACTCTAGTCTAGTCTGACTTGGCTCCATCGTTGGGTCTGCAGGGAGAGGCCTACCTACAAACCTGATACTCTAGTCTAGTCTGCCTTGATTCCGTAGTTGCCTACAGGGAGAGGCCTACCTACAAACCTGACACTCTAGTCTAGTCTGACTTGGCTCCATCGTTGGGTCTGCAGGGAGAGGCCTACCTACAAACCTGATACTCTAGTCTAGTCTGCCTTGATTCCGTAGTTGCCTACAGGGAGAGGCCTACCTACAAACCTGACACTCTAGTCTAGTCTGACTTGGCTCCATCGTTGGCTCTGCAGGGAGAGCCCTACCTACAAACCTGACACTCTAGTCTAGTCTGACTTGGCTCCGTCGTTGGCTCTGCAGGGAGAGGCCTACCTACAAACCTGACACTCTAGTCTAGTCTGTCTTGGTTCCATATTTGTCTCTGCAGGGAGAGGCCTACCTACAAACCTGACAATATAGTCTAGACTAGTTTAGTCTGTCTTGGCTCCGTCGTTGGCTCTGCAGTGAGAGGCCTACCTACTCGCCTGACACTATAGTCTAGACTAGTTTAGTCTGTCTTGGCTCTGTCGTTGGCTCTGCAGAGAGAGGCCTACCTACAAACCTGACACTCTAGTCTGGTCTGTCTTGGCTCCGTCGTTTGCTCTGCAGGGAGAGGCCTACCTACACGCCTGACACTATAGTCTAGTCTGCCTTGGCTCCGTCGTTGGCTCTGCAGGGAGAGGCCTACCTACTCGCCTGGCACTCTAGTCTAGTCTGCCTTGGCTCCATCGTTGGGTCTGCAGGGAGAGGCCTACCTACAAACCTGACACTCTAGTCTAGTCTGCCTTGGCTCCATCGTTGCCTCTGCAGGGAGAGGCCTACCTACAAACCTGATACTCTAGTCTAGTCTGCCTTGATTCCGTCGTTGGCTCTGCAGGGAGAAGCCTACCTACAAACCTGACACAATAGTCTAAACTAGTGTAGTCTGCCTTGATTTCGTCGTTGGCTCTGCAGGGAGAGGCCTACCTACAAACCTGACACTCTAGTCTAGTCTGACTTGGCTCCATCGTTGCCTCTGCAGGGAGAGGCCTACCTACAAACCTGACTATATAGTCTAGACTAGTTTAGTCTGTCCTGGCTCCGTCGTTGGCTCTGCAGGGAGAGGCCTACCTACAAACCTGACACTCTAGTCTAGTCTGTCTTGGCTCCGTCGTTGGCTCTGCAGAGAGAGGCCTACCTACTCGCCTGACACTATAGTCTAGACTAGTTTAGTCTGTCTTGGCTCCGTCGTTGGCTCTGCAGGGAGAGGCCTACCTACAAACCTGACACTATAGTCTAGACTAGTCTAGTCTGTCTTGGCTCCGTCGTTGGCTCTGCAGAGAGAGGCCTACCTACAAACCTGATACTCTAGTCTAGTCTGCCTTGATTCCGTAGTTGCCTCTGCAGGGAGAGGCCTACCTACAAACCTGACACTCTAGTCTAGTCTGTCTTGGTTCCATATTTGTCTCTGCAGGGAGAGGCCTACCTACAAACCTGACACTCTAGTCTAGTCTCTCTTGGCTCCATCGTTGGCTCTGCAGGGAGAGGCCTACCTACAAACCTGATACTCTAGTCTAGTCTGCCTTGATTCCGTAGTTGCCTCTGCAGGGAGAGGCCTACCTACAAACCTGACACTCTAGTCTAGTCAGACTTGGCTCCATCGTTAGGTTTGTAGGTAGGCCTCTCCCTGCAGAGCCGACACTCTAGTCTAGTCTGACTTGGCTCCATCGTTGGCTCTGCAGGGAGAGGCCTACCTACAAACCTGACACTCTAGTCTAGTCAGACTTGGCTCCATTGTTAGGTTTGTAGGTAGGCCTCTCACTGCAGAGCCGACACTCTAGTCTAGTCTGACTTGGCTCCATCGTTGGCTCTGCAGGGAGAGGCCTACCTACAAACCTGACACTCTAGTCTAGTCTGTCTTGGCTCCGTCAATGGCTCTGCAGAGAGAGGCCTACCTACCCGCCTGACACTCTAGTCTAGACTAGTTTAGTCTGTCTTGGCTCTGTCTTTGGCTCTACAGGGAGAGGTCTACCTACCAACCTAACGACGGAGCCAGGCAGAGTAGACTAGACTAGAGTGTCAGGTTGGAGGTAGGCCGCTCCCTACATTGCCAACCAGGGAGCCAAGGCAACCCAGACTAGAAATCATTAGAGTAGACCACAGTAGACTGGACTTAACTGTCAGGTTGGTAGGTAGGCCTCTCCTTGCAGAGTCACCCATAGGCCTTTCCTTGCAGAGTCAACCACAGATCCAAGGAAGACAGAAGTAACTAGAGTGTTCAGTTGGTAGGTATGCCTCTCCCTGCAGAACCAGCCACGGAGCACAGGCCAACTCAGCTACAGTAGAGTAGACTACAGTAGACTAGAGTGTCCGGTTGGTAGGTAGGCCTCTCCCTTGTTGGCTCTATAGGGAGAGGCCTACCTACCAACCGGACACTCTAGTCTAGTCTAGTCTGCCATGGCTCCGTTTGCCTACCTGAATGTGGTCCATGTAGCTTTGAACACCTTACATGCTCAGTAAAAGTTAAGTTCGTGGAATGAATGTGCATGTGAATGTTTGAAGCATTTCCAGAAATAAGGATCCCCGACTTGCTACCAGACATTCCACACTCATCTCTGTATCCGTCCACCCCTTTTGGAGTGAATGTCAGGGGAGGGCACCATGAGTCCTGCTCATTCCACCCTCCCCACGAGAAGGGACTGTCAACACAGTTGTGGCTGTGTTATTTCTTAGAGACACTGGGGTGTCCAGGAAGGCCAACATGCTTGAGTGTAAATTATGGCTGCACTAGTGATAACTGGGTATTGTCCCACCTAGAACATGTCCATTTTCCACGACTTAGAAATAAGACAAATATGCCAGTTAAGGGTCGCCATGTGGTTGGGAAGATTGCAAGGTCTCGCCCTTGGCTTTGCAGGAATGATAAGGGCAAATGACTGGACATAACTAACTGCAGGCAGAGAAAGGCAAATGCATGTTCCCAGTCCCTATAGGGGCCCTCCCTTCCCAATGAAGGCAACCGCTGAACATTTTCTCCTTTCATGTATCACTTATGTAGGAGTTAGTCTCATCATGACAGTAACAAACATATGTTCTAAATTTTAAAATTTTGAATGCATATATCACTATAACCTCATTACTCAGACATAATAAATACCATTTTCACATGGAGCTCCCCAGTATTTTTCCACACTTGTATATACTTTCAAGACCTTTGCGTATATAGCATATTATGTACCCCTTTCCCCACCAGATCACGTGTCCTTACCAATTCTGTAAATATTTTGCTTTGCAGATTTGCACGGGGGAAGATCAAGTCTACTGGGACTGCAGATGGTCAAGGAGTTACCTGATTCCCTGCTTTTGGACATTTGAACTGCAGCCGGATTTTTTTTTACATGTTTTATAAACATTTCTGTAGTTCACTGTTTGTCCCCATCCATGGCTACATACTTTGCATAATGAATAGTTTTGCCTCTGAAAATACAGGCCATGGTTATTTTCCTTTCCACACTGATTTACCATTGAATCTATTAAAGAAAACCACTACTCAAGAGAAAAGTTATCCTGTCTTGATCTTGGCCTTGACAAAGAGATGTTCAGCAAGTATCAGTGTGGTCTGGGGAGAGAGGGCAGGGCATGGCTGGCAGCCGGGGTGCAGGATTGGACTTTCCTGATTCACCCCAGTGGGTCCCAGGACCCTATAAGAACTGTGGGTTCCTGCCATCCTCTGTTTCCCCATCGTAATAAGGGGTTAGACTTAATTCTAACCATAGAACACCCTGGAACCAGATCAGTTTGGAAAAGATGGAAACGATGCTAAGTGTCCCTTTGCAGGCACCTCTCTCTGTCCCAGCAGGAGCCCCACTGCTCCCGAGGGGGCCAAATCACACCGTCCCTGGTCCTCATGCTGAGGACAATTCAGGGTGGCCCAGCAGAGCGGCTGTAGACAAAGTCAGGAACTTTGCCATATCTAGGAAGTTCCTGACTTTAAGTCTAAACCCTGGGCAAAATGGACACACTTCAAGTTTCTCTGATTTTCTAAAGTTCCTATAATGAAACATCACGGGGGGGGGGGGGGGGAGACAAATTCAAGAGATGGGACCATTGCACTGATATCTACTCACCTGGGCATTAGCATCCAATTCCTTATCGAGGGAATAAAGAGAGGATACGTACCCAACAAACGGAGGAGGAGAAAAAGAACCCCCAGGGCGTAGGACTTGAGTTCAGGGTTCACTGTCCTAGTGCACAGAGACAAAGAGGGAAAAGGAGGAGATTCTTATCACTCCACTTAAATTAACAAACCCCAGGGTCCTTTGCTGCTGTCCATCAGTGCCCTTCTTCAGAAAATTATCCATGGTCTTTTCTCCTGCTTTCCCTGCCTAAAGTCTGAAAAAGGATGGTGACTGCCGTGATAAGACACGTTTTTAATAACTGGAGCTAATCTCATGAAGGACAGAATGGAAATTTGGCCCCTAAAGACACTGTACGCACAGCGAGGAGAGGTCCCGGATCCAGCAGCTGGGGACATACGCGTCTGTGCAGGTCCCCTCCAAGCAGTTCATTCTACTCTTCTCTCTAGCCCTTGCGATGGAACTGGTTTGTGAGGTGATGGCCTCCCAGGAAGGTGGGCCTCAGTGTGTTTGGTGCCCCCTCTCCTGGTTCAGAGGGGCGCTGGGGTACGGAGCATTCCACTTCCGTGCTCCTCACGCAAATCTAGATGACTGTGCAAATGTGCGACTCAGAATATGACTCATGATATCCTATGAGGCCCCCCAGCTGTCCCCAGGACAGGTCCCGAGACAGGGAACCGGGAGCTAAGGGTGGCTCTCTCCAGCCATCGATTTGTGCAAGAACACTCAATGATGTGCAGGCACGACATCACACCCCGACAGCGTCTGCACACACGTGGTCTCGGAGGTGCTCACACTGCAGGAGACAGGCAGGAGCGGTGACGTCACCCCCGGTTCCAGACTCAGCAACTGGTCTCAGAACCACGTGGGGGGTGAACACGGGGACTTGGCTAGTCTGATGCCATTTTCATTGAACTCCAACCGTGTCCGTGCAAACATCAATATGGGCCCACAGTCCCTTTCAAAGTGACCTGCAGAGTCTATTGTTGGGGGGACACGGATGTGTGCTTTTCTCCTGTGGGCCCTGCTTTCGACGGTTGGTGTGAGGTCTGTCGTGAATGGAACTGACGCCTAGGGGAGGTGGCTCCTGAGACTCACCTGGTACCCGAAAGTCTGGCCCCCGGGACACCTGCCGACACACACCAGGTGGGAAGGGGGCACAGTGAGGCTGGCGTTGAGGTCCCTGGGGACCTCATAAGCTTACCGGATGAGGATGATGACTGAGGGTGTCTGCGCCATCGCCCCAATCATGCTGCAGACGCACATCACGCACAGGAAGGTGAGGAAGGCCTCTTGGCACCCGGGACTCGGGCACTTCCCGGGGACCACCGTGGCGTTCTCGGGGGGGCTGGTCACGAGGCACGCACAGCCGGTGAGATTCTGAAAGGAAGCGTTCAGCCCTTTAAGTGGGGGACCTCCAGCGGCTAACTCCAAAGCCATCTATCAGCTGGGCCGCCACAGCCCAATCATGCATTCGGCAGCATCCCATTAATCAGGCCTGAATGAACGCGTTGGCTTTTTAAGGAGGCTGCAAAACACATGCAAATAAAGGGATATTTATGGGGAGGAGAGCTGAGTCCCCGTCTCCTGTGTATTCCGTTCCCCTGCTCCAGAGGCCCTCGGGAAGCTACCATGTAGAGAAACGCGCTCCCCGCGAGACAATTAGGAATCTCGCCGCCACAAGATGATGAGACATCGCCGAGTTAACACTGCAATTACTTGCCAATCTGTCCTCTTTCATGCTCTTACAATTACTCTGTAAACCGGGAACCGGCGCATCGTTGCTGGGTCAGTGCCCGGTGTGGCATTTGGGACAAAGGATGCACCCTACCAGGTATGAAGCTGCTGCCATTGGGGGGCCCAGAGCCGGGGGAGCGAGAGGGAAAGTTCTCGAGTGGCCAAAAAGCAGAGAGGGCTCAGATTGCCGGGGAGCCCGGGGCAATGCCGGGGAGCAAGCTGCAGCCCCGCGAGACACGCTGATTAACACGTGATCAGAGCGCAGGAAGGAAGGCACTGGGTTCCATCTGACCTTCCCGAGTCCCGCCCAGCCGCACGGCCCCCGCCCATGCTCCTGGGATTGTAGGACGGCCCATGGCAAAGGGAGGAGCAGGGGCTGGGGGAGGCAGTGCCCAGCGTGTGCCAAGCCAACGAAGGTTTGAGGAGAACAGCGCAGGGGCCTTTGATGAGTGCAGAGTGGAAACAGTCATAAATAATTCATTGCTTTCGTTCCCGGGGCCTCTCTGCCTTCTGAGCACACACCTGGGCGAACCCTCCAGAGAGCACCCCCCGCCCCCCGTAAAGTCCTCCTCCCAGCCCCCTCCCACCTCACCCTCCATCTCCCTTCTTTTCTTTCCACCCAGAACATACAGAGGGGGCTTTTCTAATCCCACAAAGCCGCATGGGATGCCTGCAGGGGCGTCCAAAGGCCTGTGTGTGCCCCCACCCCACAGGGCCACCCTTTAGGACTGTGCCCTGCACAGGGGCGGTTTCCAGAGGCCGAGGTTGGGGGCCACATGTGCGGGCTGGTCCTTTCTCCTGAGCAGTCTGCTCGGAGCCGCTGCCTTGGAGTAAATGACAGCACCCAGGGGCCGGCCCCTGCCCCTCCGCCGACTTCCCCGCTGTTCTTCAGATCCAGTGTTGCTGTCTTACCCTCAGCAGGGCCTCCCCTGCTCAACCAGCTGCCGTCTGAGCCCAGCACTTCCCACGGCAGGGCACCCTGCACACCCCACTGCGGGGGCCCTCGCCACCCTCCCGGAGATCAGAGCGGCCTCCACTACCCCCCTGGGCACCTTCGCAGCGGTGCTGAGACTCACAGGGACTCAGGATGCACGTGCCCCCCTCCGCTTCCTCTACGACTTCCCCCCTCGGTGACCCCCACCCCTCCCTGCCTGGCAGGAAACGGACTCTGCAGCCACCGCGTCCAAGCTGCTCACACTCGCTGCTTCACCTCCCGCATCTCTCTCTCGGTCCAGCTGGCTTGTCGCACTCACGCTGGGACTCGTGCCGAGCTCACCTGCGGCCTCCCAATCCCGACTCCGGTCCGTTTCTCTCCTCCTGGATGGAGCTGGCTGGAGGGAGCCCCGGAGCACCAGGCTCTGGTCTGGACTTTCTCCCCCTGACGCACCCGTTCGCTTTAGCAACTACGCACCTTCTCGCGAGTGCCCTACATTGAGGTTTTCGTCCCATCGGCTATGTCCCTTCCTGAGACTGAGTATGTGGCGGTATCCCTTCTGCAACGCACCGCCCTAGATGAGGTCTGTGCGCGGCCCCCGATGGGGCGGGATGAGGAGGAGATGTCCCTGCTGTGGATGAGGGCTGACGGTGTTCAGGCATCTGCCGTCCGGTGACGGAGGGCGTGGACGGCAGGGTGAAGCCTCGTGAGACTTGCAGCCGAGACCAAGGGGAGCGACGAGGGTTCACAAGCCAGGACAAGCATGGGCCCAGGGCAGCCCCGGGAATAGGACACAGAGGCTGCCTGCGGCCAGCAGGGATGTCACCCGCTGTGCAGAGGGGAGGAGCCGACAGTGGACGGGTCTTCCTGAATGCTGCAGGCTCAGCCCTGCGTACTGACTGAGATGTCATTTATTCAAGAGGAGCCGGGGAGGTGAGCCACAGGGGTCTCCGCAGCGCCTGAGCTGGGTCTCCTTTTCCATCAGACGAATCCGTCTGACCTGGTGAAAGGGTCCCAAGGGGTGCTCCTGCTGCCTGGGGGCAGGGGGGCCACTCCCAGCCCTCGCTGGGAAAGTGTGAGCCCGTAGAACCTCTGACAAGAGACGGGGACACCTTTCTTCGGGCTAAGATGACACGAGAGCGCACACATGGACCTGGGGCGTTGAGCTGGGGGACTCAGGGTGCAGGAGGCAGGTGTTAGAGAAGAATCGTCTACCCACACGTCCAGGTGTGGCAGAAGAGCCACAAGTGAGGGCCATAGGGGTTCCACTGGGAAAGACGACTCCCTCCAACAGGGTTTCGTGGTCCTGTCCCAAATGAAGAAGGTCCTAGAGGAACAGCCCTTCAGCGGATATTCACTGGCACCGAACTGGGAACCCCTAGACCTGCAAGGGCTCCAAGCAGTTGGGAGTCTGAACATACAGAGATGACCTGGGTGTAAGAAAACAACCCACTTTCATTAAGGAGATGATAGAGGCTGGATCCTAGTTCTCACGCTGTCTGTATACTATCGTCCCGTGTGGCCAGTCCGAAAGCAGATGGATCTCGGCCTGAACAAAGCGGTGAGCCCCGAGCTTGCCTTGGCAGTGCCCGGGCAACATGCAGAAGGTGCACCAGGCTCCAGACCAGTTGAGAATCCCTGACCGGGGAAATGTCCCCCTTCCCCGTCCCCAGGAACATCTTCCCACTGTGCTGTTCTCGATATATTGTGTTGATACTCGGATGACCACTGTGTTCACAGAGGAACAGGCTTGTCAAGCTTGGGAGCCCGTGGGGACCTAGAGAACAAAGTAAGACTGGCTTGTAAATTACTAAGAACTTGCCCTACAGGCAGCTTTGCCTGGGCCCAGCGACATAAGCCTAACACGAGTCACAACATCGCAGGAGCTAACGTTCTGCCGCGATCGGAGTGCCACCTGCAGGGACTGGTCACACAAATGCCACCAGTCACAGTGGAATACTATGCAGCTGTCCAAAAGGTAAGAGAGTGTTCTTTACATGCTAATGTGGCAGAACTCCAGGATAAATCCTTAAACCCCAGAAACAACAGGTGCAGAATTAAGACCTGAAACGTGCATTAAAATCCAGAAGAACAGGCGATAAGAAACGACTGATCATAATCACCCACTGGGCAGAGTGCTGGGTTGAAAAGTGGGTGAATGGATGGCAGAGGTAGAGAGTGTCCACGCCCTCCTTTTTATACTTTCTGATATTTGAACCATACAAATGTGTCATTTCGTAAAAGATGAATAAGTCTAGAACTTTAAAAAATACAGATCAACTTCCAGTCAAGACGGCGGCGTATGTAAGCGCAGTCTCGCCTCCTCCCACAACCACATCCAAATCACAAAACACTACAGAACAACCATCACTCACAACCGCCTGACATCGAGGGAATGGAAGTCGTACAACTATGAAATTAAAGAAGCAGCCACATCGAGACTGGTAGGAGGGCGGAGGCAGATGGGCTGGTCCCACAGCCACATGGAGCAGATAAAAATCAGGGGGACACCTCAGCTGGGAAGGTCCTCCCTGAGGAGTGAGGGGTCCCCATCCCACTCCAGGCCCCCAGTTCAGGGTTCCAGTGCCAGGAAGAGAATCCCCATCACTTCTGGCTGTAAATCCAGTGGGAACTGAGGCTGACGGAGGCAGAGGCTGCTGGAGCCCCAGGCAGCTCCTCTTAAAGGGCCCGCGCATGGACTTACTCAGACTCGCTCCCCCCAGGCTCCAGCAAGAGGGAGGGAGCCTGAAGGACATTAGGGACATACGAGGAAGAACTGAGCTGTTTGGCATCAGGGCTGGAGAGGCCGCTTTCTCCCAGACAGATGTTCTGGCAGAGGCGTTCCTTTGGGGAGCCCTTCCCTGAGATGGCAGACGGCAGCCATATCTGGGACTCCAGCAACCTGGCTCACACTGTTTGCCCCGCCCTGGTGATTCCCTGAGGCCACGCCCCCCTCAACTTTCAGGCCCACCCAAGCTGTTTCCAGTGGCTTTACCATAGGAAGGGGCTGTCTTGGCTCCTCCTTCAGAGTTTCCTAAATTCTCTCAAACAAGCAGCATCTGGCCCCAGCGAGCCCCATACTTCCCACTAAGTGTCCCCAGGCCTGGCACTAGAAGCAGCCAGCCTTGGTTCACAGCTCGGCTTTGCCTGGGCACCTCCAAACCCAGCACGAGAAGCAGCCATCTGCAGATCCCTCTGTAGCTTATGCCTGGTGGCCCCGGGTAGAACACAGGCAGTGGCTGACCTGGCCCCAGAGCCAGCACACCCAGGGGACAGCTTCAGACCACATCAAAGCACCACCACCCAACCACTTCTACAAGTGACACACTCAAGGAGTGGACTCAGTGGGTACCGGAGCCCTGCTGCAGTAAGTCTTGCTCTGTGTGGTGGCCCCTGCACAGCTGTCCTCCAAGGGAGTCAGAGGTCAGTGGTCAGTGGGCACAGCCAGTCCTGAAGCTGATCAACCTGAGTAAATCCCTCCCATGGTGTGCCAACAGCAATCAAGACTCAATTACAACAGAAGGGTGTACAGTCCACATGAGGGGTGCACCTTGAGGACCCAGCACTGAACCCTACAGGACACCTACTACAATAGGCCACCTAGAAAGCCTAGGAGACATAGCAACTCTACCTAATACATAGAAACAAACACAGGGAGGCAGCCAAAATGAGGAGACAAAGAAACTTGTACCAAATGAAAGAACAGAAC